ATGAGTGAAAACAAATCTGCTATTTAAATAATTCTTTCAAAATGTTAGGCGTATTGCTTACAACTTTTGTTATTATTAATATTATTATTTTGTATGAACGTCTGGTAAAAACACAATACATTAAAAACACCAATACTATTTTAGAAGACATCAGTTAAAAGTTATCGTTGCAAGCCCATTACATAACAACTGTACTGTAGCTATTACGTGCTGCAGTTATATATAATAATAAAATTTATTAAATATTTAAAACCTAATACTGTTCCTTTACCATAGTGCATCCTGATCATGGAGTTGATGTTACCATGAGAGGTAAGGGACAGTCTTTCGACTAATGACAGTTTCCCCTTAACTGTAAGCGGACTGACCAAAATGAACATTATTGGCAGCAAAGTGGACAAACTCGTGTGTCCAGACATCGTAGAGGATACTTTCGAAATGGTCAAACTTTCCGAGAAACCTGTTGCATCAGAGAATCGTCTGTCACCGTGTCATGCTACTCTTTCAGTTCCAATTTGCGGTAAGTTCTCGTTCGTTTGTAGAACTTGAAAACCATTTTTGTTTGTGTTTTTAGTTTGTGCACCTGCTGATATTAACACAGCCAGTGTTCTTTGTAGACTGGTATTTTTAATAATTTTTGTTTCTCACCATAAGCGAGTGTTATAAAAATATTTTCATCGGCTAAAATACATTTAATATCCGAAATGCTTATAAATTAGGCTAGTAAAATTGTGAATAATACGGTTTTAATTCTAATATAATAAATTGTGTTTTTGATTAAAATTAAGGTTCAAAACATTATTATTAACGTCAAAGTTAATTCCAACATATATTTTAGTCATCAAAATCTCTGTATTGGCCTAATTCGAGAAAACTAAGCTTGTAAGTAATTATTCAGAAAATATCATTATGAATTTATTTCTCTACCAAGTCTGGTGATGGGCTTATAAAGTATGAACGGTTAGGTTTAACTCGTTATAACATTCTAACGTCTAAGGTATGTTGTTGTTTTTCACAAAGATTCAGAATGTGTTATCTGCTCTCTCTCCACTATAAGGAATAAACCTCGAATTTCAACACTGTAAGTCCGCAAACTTACATTTGGTCTAGAATTTAATTTAATGAACCGTTAACGAGAATTCCACTTTATTTTTTTTTCTTCAGCATTTTTGTGCCCTTGGCTATACATGATCTATTGCACTAGAGAACCTTCATCCTTACTTTTTGACTCAAATACTCAGTTTTCAGAGCGGAAAGGAAGTTGCAATTCTGTCATCATCATTCTAGGCTGTGTCCGCCCACTGCAAAGCGTAGCCCTCCGCCAAAGACGTCTAAGTGCAACTAAAAATGATCGTTGCAAGTTCTTTACATAACTACTGTACTGTAGCCACCTTGTGGCTATTACGTGCTGCAATTATAAATAATAATGAAATTTTTTAAATAATTAAAAAGTAAATACTGTTCCTCTACCATAGTGCATCATAATGCAGTTCTTTCAGTTTTCATAAATTATTTCGGATCTCGAACGAAGACTATCCTGATTATTGACATCAACCTTGCTGTGGATCAGGGTTTGAAACCTAATCCCTTAATGAGCATTAAAAAGCTAAAAGCAGTCACGTTATGCATTTTAATCGTTATTATAGTTTTTTCTTTACTAGGATTCGAACGTTGTCAGGTAAAGGATCCTATGAAAGACAAGGTAATTAATGCATTGTAAACACTTCTTTTATTATGGTAAAAAAACAGTAAGATAATGAACAGTTTTCATATCTGTATAGAGGAATAAAAATAATGTTGAAAGTTATATAAAAAAACATTTCAATTTCTCTCGTGTTATCGTAATCTTGTAATTGACATATACTTATAGCAGGTTTTTTACTTCATTTGGAAGGAAGGATTATTGACGGTTGCTTATTCATTTCTCTCTCAGATTTCATGTAGCATAAAAAACCTTGTAACATAGACTTGCGTTCTAAAATAGTGTTACAAGCTTGCGTGGTTCCAGTTGTACAGGCTAAATACCCGTGCACGATTTTATTTGTCCAGATTAGGTTCCAGTGACAGATTTTATCTTCCCAGACTAAGAACCCATACCTGATTTTATCTTTACAGACTATGTAATAGTGCATGATTTACATTTACAGACTGTGTGAGAATGCATGATTTTATCTTCACGGATTGTGTGAAAATGCATGATTTTACATTTACAGACTGTGTAACAGAGCAAAATTTTACCTTTACAGACTGTGTAAGAATGCATGATTTTATTTTTACAGACTGTGTAACAGTACATGATTTTACATTTACAGACTGTATAACACTACATGATTTTACATTTACAGACTATGTAACAGTGCATGAATTTAACTTCACAGACTGTGTAACAGTGTATGATTTTACCTTCACAGACTGTGTAACACAGCAGGATTTTATCTTTACAGACTGTGTAAGAATGCATGATTTTACCTTTACAGACTGTGTAACAGTGCATGATTTTACATTTAAAGAATGTGTAACAGTGCATGATTTTACATTTAAAGACTGTGTAACAGTGCATGATTTTAGATTTAAAGACTGTGTAACAGTGCATGATTTTACCTTTACAGACTGTGTAAGAATGCATGATTTCATCTTCACAGACTGTGTAAGAATGTGTGATTTTATTTTTATAGACTGTGTAACAGTGCTTAATTTTACCTTAAAAGACTGTGCAACAGTGCATAATTTTACCTTAACAGACTGTGCAACAGTGCATAATTTTACCTTAACAGACTGTGTAACAAAGCAGAATTTTATCTTTACAGACTATGAAACAATGCATAGTTTTATGTTTACAAAGTGAAGGACTCGAGTAGTGAAAAGATTCAGCTGTTCTCACTGGAAAACCCAAACTTTTAGAGCACGAGGAAGAAGCAAGACTTTCAATAACAAACTTGCACGTGCTCCAGCTGCTGATTTCAAAGGTCCCTATTGATTCACGGCGGCCGCAATGCACCGAACTACTTTTATAACTATCTCAGGGGAATGGAAAGAGGGGGGGCTGTATACTCTAAACAACTCCGTTAGGACACCGGCTCGTAGCACCTAAGACGTGTGTCACATTTGATTTCTCAAGCTTGTCAGTGAAGCTGGATCAGAGTTTATAGGCATGCAACCTATAGGAGAGTCAAGTAGTCGACAGACCTCTCCCACCGAAATCTCAAGTTGTTCCTTTGCACTAATTCTTTGGTAATATACCCCGTACTTTTTACTATAGTATTAATTTACTAGCAATTGTCCGTTAGTATTTTAATGAAAATACCTCTCACGGCCATGTTCAACTACGGGGTGCTATTATCTTGTATACTTACCTCATATTTCACTTTTTTGTAACATTACACATACACTCCTGTGTTAACTATACAGATCACACTTTGTAACATTACACATACAGTCCTGTGTTAACTATACAGATCACACTTTGTAACATTACACATACAGTCCTGTGTTAACTATACAGATCACACTTTGTAACATTACACATACTCTCCTGTGTTAACTATACAGATCACACTTTGTAACATTACACATACACTCCTGTGTTAACTATACAGATCACACTTTGTAACATTACACATACACTCCAGTGTTAACTATACAGATCACACTTTGTAACATTACACATACACTCCTGTGTTAACTATACAGATCACACTTTGTAACATTACACCTACACTCCTGTGTTAACTATACAGATCACACTTTGTAACATTACAC